AATGATTATAACCCATGGAGCCCGTTAATCCACCAACTGCAGCTTCCGAAACGATGCCCATCCGTAATAGGCGGCGGAGCTGGTGAAGGACTCCATGTGGTTCATCCAAGAATATATCGTAAGTACATGGAGATTTTTTCTATGCTTGTAAATATTTTACTTTTTTTCACCTGGGCTAGCTCACTACTACAGGTAACATTGTGTCAGTGGGACATGTCCTACATTGAGATATAGCTACATAGATGTTCAACATCTTTCTCGCTATCATGACAGTAAAGGAAAGTAAAGTTGGTTCCATAAGGCCTGTACTGGCTTGGATCGTAGACAGTACGCTCTTCTGTCCAGTAGCGAGAGTTTACTCTACCGTTGTAATGACTGTTGTAGGCCCAGGACTGAGCGTTACACGTCAGTAAAGAGCAGTCCTGTTTCTTTGGAAAGTTTGTTGTCTCTGATTGTCTCATTAGACAGGAAAGTTGAAAGGATTGTGCAGGGCCTAGAACGCTCAGGTCTCCTCTGTCAGGAGACAGTAGAAGACACTGGCAAGTTGTCTGATCCTGCATCTGATTGTTTACTGTCGAATGTCAGTTTACCTGTTAGCAAAGACCTTGTTAGTAACGAGCCCTCAGACAGCGTGTTTGATTCGGCTGTTAGCGAAGGAGAGCAGCAGGTTTCTGCCCTTGTCAAAAGTAGGCGAAAGAGGGTTAAAAAAGCGGCAAAATCAAAGGCGGACATGAGAGGTCCGTCGGGCGCCCATTCACCCCTCAAATTCGACTACTATGGAATCCTTGCAACTGGAAACATCTACGACATTAGAGTCTATAAAAACGGACACTAAACTGAAACCACCGACGTCCATGGAGCGTTCGGTAAATACTCCGCGTCGCGGAAACTCGTATACCGACTGCAGTGTTATTTTCAGAAACGCCACTGAGTCTTCTGCTGTTCTCCCAAAAGACCGTATGCTAGATGACCTTAAGTGGTTTAGAGTATGCATTACCAAACTCCTGCCTCTCGGCTTCCCCGGTGTGACTGTGCGCAAACTAACCAGACTCGGTAACTTGCCAGCCGACAAGTCTCGCCTTCGCTTGTTGCGAGTTGTTCTGTCCACTCCGGAGGAGCGCCAAGCACTTCTGCGTTTCGCCTTTAAGCTCAAGGGCACTGGTGTCATTGTGCACCCAGACCTCCCTTTGGTGGATAGGCTGAAATTGCGGGGAGCTGTCAAGGATCTTAAAGCCCGCCGTGAAGCAGGAGAAAAGGGTCTCCGCTTGGTGGGTTTTCGGGTGGTGAGCCGGCGGTCCACTTCCGCCCTACCAGAGCCGGTTCTGGTGGCGCACGATCCCGGACTCACAATGTTAAATCCCTTCAGGTGATCTTAAGCAATATTCGTAGCCTGCGAAACAAGCTGTGCGAAGTCGGCGCTCTTGTCGACGACTGCCGTCCAGATGTCCTCGCATTCACTGAAACGTGGTTGTCCACCGACGTCACGGACAGTGAAGTGTGCTTGCCAGACTACGCACTGCTGAGATGTGACCGCACCTCTGATCGGCGCGGAGGTGGTGTTGTTTTGTACGTTAACTCCGCACTTACTGTCTGTAAGACGTATAGTTTCAGTTCATCAGAGGGTGATGTTGAGGCACTCGCAGTTAACCTGTGTATTGCCTCCGCACAACTTAAAATTGTGCTGGTCTATAGAAGCCCCGACAGCGTTGCTAATGGGCTTGCTGATTTCATCCGCGAGCATTCGGCAAATAGGTGTTTGGTGATGGGGGACTTCAATCTTCCTGACGTTGACTGGCAGAATTTTTCATGCGGCGCTGTTACAAGGTGTTTGGCTGCCGAGCTTCTCGAGCTGGCCTTGCATGCTTCCCTGCACCAATTTGTCGATCGGCCTACTAGATTCATGATGGGTCAAAACTCGTCCCTCTTGGACTTGATCTTCGCTAAATCCATTGATTTTGTCACGGATCTTGTATACAACTCACCCTTCGGTGCTAGCGACCACGCATGTCTCTCATTTAAGTGCGCCCTTAGTCGTCAGACTAATGATCATCCCGACCGAGTACCAAATGTATGGTGCGCAGACTTTCAGACAATGAAAGCCAAAGCCGCAAAGTCGCCTTGTGTCATTTTGGAAAGTGACGACATTCAAACGGCCTGGGACAGCTTTAAATCATACTTGAGTGAGCTCTCTCTCCCCCATATACCACTATCTGGCAGGAATAAAACTAGGGCAAAGCCACCCTGGTTTGATTCTTCTGTACGCAAACAACTTAACAGACGTGCCAAATGTTGGCGTACTTACTTATCTGCTCCTTCATTATGCACTTTCAAGCGATATCGTGAGGTTCGAAATGCCTGCAGGCAGTATCTACGTGGTGCTCGTCTACAGCATGAAGTAGAGCTTGCTCGTATAGCCTCATCAAACCCGAAACGCTTCTTCGCTTATGTCAAAAGGCGAAGCAACATGAATTCGTGCATCCCAGTGTTGTTTGGCCCGGACGGCAATGCTGTTGTCACGGATCACGAAAAAGCTTGTTTGCTCGGAGAACAGTATGCTGAGGTTTATGTTAGAGAGTCACAGCCGCCGCATATCAGTCTCCAGGCAAAAGTTCCTGAGGGCTCCCACTTGGAGGAGGTTTCTATAACCGAGGCTCAAGTGCTCCGGCTTTTGAGGCAATTAAATCCCAATAAAGCTGCCGGTGGAGATGCTATTCATCCCAAACTGTTGCACGAGTTGGCTGATGAACTTTGCTCTCCGATTACGCATCTTTTTGTGAAGTCTCTACGAGGCTGCTCTCTACCCAAGGACTGGAAGGAGGCTATTGTTTGCCCCATTTTTAAGAAAGGTGATAAGCACCACTCTGATAACTATAGACCGGTCAGTTTAACGAGCGTGCTGGTCAAGTATTGGAAAAGCTCGTGAGAGACGCTCTCGAAGGACATTTGAAAGCGTTTGACTTGCTCAATCCTTCTCAGCACGGTTTTCGTAAGGGCTATTCTTGCCTTACTAACTTGTTAACCGCTCATGAACACTGGGCCGAAGCTGTGCTGTGGACGTGCTGTTTATTGACTTTTCCAAAGCTTTTGACACCGTTCCACATTCGCGCCTTTTGTACAAGCTGAATTCCTTTGGTATTTCTGGACCAGTCTTACGATGGATTTCAGCTTTCCTAATCGGAAGGGAAATGTGTGTGCGGGTGGGTTCAAGCTTGTCCTTCCGCCAATGTGTTCTCAGTGGCGTGCCGCAAGGTTCGGTTCTTGGCCCCCTTCTCTTCACTTTATACGTAAATGACCTACCTGATGAATTGGGTGGGCCATCCCTAATGTTTGCGGATGACTTAAAACTCTGGTTCACGATAGACGAGCCGATTGGTCCACTGACCCTACAGGAGGCTCTGGATAGACTTTGGGACTGGTCAATTTTGTGGCAGTTGCCAGTTAGTTTAGGGAAATCTTCCGTTCTACGCGTTGGTCCGAATGACCTGCCGACGCGTTATTTGCTTTGCGGCAACGAGGTACCGCGAGTTCAACTCCAATCTGACCTCGGTGTTTTGCTGTCATCTGACTTCAAGTCCAGTGAACACTGGAAGACAGCTGCTCGTAAAGGCTTCAACATGTGGATGATCCGCAGGTCATTCGGGATCATAACCACCGACATGTTTGTTCGACTATTTTCGGCTTTTGTAAGGCCGCACTTGGAATACTGCGTCCAGGCTTGTCCTCCATGCCTGGTTCGTGATAAGATGGCAGTTGAACGAGTCCTGCGGTCCGGGACGAAAATGGTGTACGACTTAAAGAAGCTGACGTACCCGGAGAGGCTACGTAAGTTGGATATGTTTTCCATGTATTACAGGCGGCTTCGGGGCGACTTGGTCCTTACATATCGTATATTGATGGGTCAGATTGGTCCTGATTTGACTGGACTGTTTCGTCCAACTCGAATGCCAACCCTTCGTGGCCACTCATCAGGTTGATCTAGGTGTCGTCCACTGTTCCACATTGCACTCTGGAGACAACTGGAAGAAGGCGGCTAGTAAAGGGTTCCGGATGTTGTGGTTTATCCGTCGTTCTTTTGGGACCCTAACCGCTGATGTGTTTGTGAAGCTTTTCTCAGTGTTTATGCGACCCCACCTAGAATATTGCGTCCATGCCTTGTCCGGGACACAATGGCACTAGAAAGGATGTTGCGTATCGGTACTAGATTGGTCAAGGGATTACGAGGGCAAACGTACCCCGAACACCTACTTAGTTTGGGGATGCAGTCAATGCACTATCGAAGCATTAGTGGGGACCTAATCTTAACCTACCGTATTTTGACTGGGAAGGTTGGTCCTGATTTGTCCATGCTATTTAGTCCTGCTAGATTATGTGGTCTTCGCGGGCATTGTATGAAGCTGGACAAACCGCGGTCCGATCGAGTTAGAGCGGAGACACGCTTATCGCGTCGAGTCATCGAGCGCTGGAACATGCTTCCAGAAGATGTTGTCAAGGAAGCTACGGTTAAGGGGTTTGAGCCTCAACTAGATGCTCTTGGGTGGCAACACGAACCCTTTCCCTTTTCCTGACAAATTTCCATCTTCATACTTCGATTCTATTTTCTTTACTTTTCCTCGCCATTGGTATTATTCTTTTCTTTTAACTGATTTCCCCTACTCTCTTACCTTCGATTCTTCTTCCTCTCTCACTTCACGTAACTGACAGCTGGGACAGCTAATGTAAGGAACGTGGGCATTAAATTGGTGGACCAGGGTGTTTTTCGGGTGTTTTCGTTTTAGACCCATCAAAAAGTCGGAGCACCCCTATCAACTCCTGCATCGACGACCCGCTTAAGAAGGAACACTTACGGGATTCATCCTATCGTTCCAGTCCCACTTGAACTTGAACTTTATTATGTTTGATCAACCTTTTTGTGAGCAGATATCTGACAACTCCGTTACATTTTCTTTGCCATCCTTCGATGTGTCCTGCCCACGTGTCTGGTTTATCCAAGTGGAATCTAGCTTTTGTTTGCGTAAGTTCATCTCTCAGTCTACGATATTTTCATATGTTACTGCTCATGTACTCACACATGTGGCTTTAGAAGTCATCGATATCCTCGACCCGCTGCCGACTGACCCACCTTATGACAAGCCTAAAGCAGCTATCTTGAAACACACTACCTCATCCGACGAGGCACGCCTCTAACAGCTACTCTCTGGCATCGAGCTTGGTGATCCTACACCGTCTCAGCTCCTCCGACATACGATCACTTGTCGGTTCATCAACTTCAGATGAGTCCATTCTTCGCCAACACTGGATCAAGTGTCTTCCAGCAAACACGACGGCGATACTAGCTGTTTTGACTGAGGACCATCCACTGAATAATCTGGTGGAAGCGGCCGACAAAATACACGAAAATTCCTCTAAAATGTTGTGAATCATGTTGTTGAGGCGTCCACTACAATCACTTCAGGGAGTGCCACACTCGACTCCATTTGTGAGAGGCTCTCAAACTTGGAGCTCAGCATTTCTCACCTTAACCACGGTCAAATACGAAACCAAGGATTCTCTTCCAGAAGCAGGCTTCGCAGCAATTCCCACAGACGATCATCGCGTTCTTACTGCCACTTCAATTACCGCTTTGGTAATGCCGCACGAAACTGCCGCCCAGGTTGTACTCACCCAAGGCTTTCACTAATTCCAGATCCGTCGCAACGAGACTGAACCTTATCGTGGTGCGACGGTTTGCGTACCTCATTGACCCGTTGAGCTATACTGCGTAATGCCTCCGGGCATCTTGAGAGCTACTCCTACCAGGTTGATCAATGGTAGAGAGGTCAGACAAACTCAGTCTCCTGGTCGTCCACGTTGGAAGTTTGAAATGGGATGGCGTCCATTTCTGTAAAACTAAATCACTGCCACCCCGCTGCCTTGCGGACAGGCTTTTGAGCCAATAGCTTTGGATGAGGACCCTAATAGTCCTCCTGTCCAGGTCTGGGCGCCCTGGCAGTATCTCAGCCTACATACAACCATGACAATTTCCTCAAACATAAACTTCGATTAAGTGCAGATTTGACTCAACTGGCTGCGAACTGGCATTCCTCTGGGGATCATCGCCGTTGCAGTAGGAGCAACATAGCCCTGCCGTACTCATCAGATGTCAGTCAAGCAGCCGTTTGAAACTTTCCTCTGTCGGTGCATCAGAAATGATCTCCTGCAGGCTGTTCCAGTCATACACTGCACGAATTCATAAGACAGCCTCCGGACGGATGTGTAGTATTCGGCTCTTGTACAACTTCCACTTGTGACCTGCAAATTCCCCTGCTTGATGTGTAAATCAATCCTAAATACTATGAACACATAGTTTTCTCATATATTAGGGAAGTAAGAGGTTTGTATGGTGCACGTGTTTGTATGAGACACACCGACAACATCCGCATTTTGTCCGCGGCCTTCGAAAAGAACGTCGGTTCTCCGATCCCACTCAACACCCTACCACATACTCCCTAGCTAGTCATCTTCCGGCGCCCTATTTTTAGTCTTAAGATTTAGCAACCTTCTAACAAACATTTTTCTAGCTTATTCCCGTGTGTTCTGCCGCCTTTGGTTGGCGATTCGAATCTGAGTTTCGGATAAATACCGTGAGACCAACACGCACTAGACATCCACGTTGAGCCGAAAGTGCTTTTATACCTAACTCCCGACTTCTCTTAGGATCCATCTGGTATAGGTAAGGTCTCCACGGCGCCGACGATAATCCATTGGAAATATGTTCAGCTTTCGGAGTCGAAGACGGTAGGCAAGATCTTGAAGCTCCATGACGGATTTCAAGCCACGTCTCTGAACTCTTCCTGGCAAGTCGCGTTCAGACTTTAGGAGATGATAGCTAGCTGGAAGGCCATACTCCAATATCGGGCGGATGTGAACGGAGTTCTGAAAATAGCCGGAGTGATACGGGAGTACGCCCTGCGAAGAACACTCAGCATTTTGTTTGCGGCCGCAATCTTTCTCAGGATGTCTTGGGAAGTTCTAAGGTCCTGTGACCCGATAACCCCCAGATTATTCTCGTGCATGACATTCTGAGAAGATATCCGCCAGTGTGGTATACACCGAATGCATCCGGGTTACCAATCAAAAGAACGGCACGGGTAGTTTTTACTTGACGAATCAATTGTTCAGCTGGTCCAGCGCCGTTTGGAGTCTGTCCGCGTCCTAAAGGCTAGTTACTTCTGACCATAGCTTGAGATCATCGGCATAGACTTCGCAGTCGGTTTGAAGAGCTGCAGGGAGGTCAATAATATAGAGCTTGGAAGGTTCCGGTCCAAGGACAGAGCCTTGTGGGACTCCGCTAGTCATGGACACAGCCAGGCAGCGTTTGGTTCACCTTTTCGTTCTCCTCAGCCGGTGGCCGAGTGGTCTGCACGTTTGGTTTGCAACCATAAAATCACCGGTTCGAATTCGCGTAGGGGTGGACGTCCTCGCGGTATACTCAGCCCGCGCGCGACTGGTTGTGATCGCGCGGCAGCGAAGCGCCGTTACGGCGTACAGCTGACACATTATTATTATTATTATTATTATTATTATTATTATTATTATTACCTTCACTTGAAGAGTCCGCTCTCTCAAGAAGTCCGCAACCCATGCAAGGACGTTTCCAGTGACGCCAATCCCTTAAAGTTTAAGCAGAAGTCGTTTGTGTAGGACTGTCAAAAACCTTGCTGAAGTCAATGTAGATGACACCTAGGTGTCGCCCGTCGTCTACTGCTTTAACCCCCGCTTCTTTGCAAGAAGCAGGTTGGAAATGCAGGAGCGAGCCCTGCGGAATCCGTGCTGAGCGGAAGTGATGGCGCACAGGCTTTCGCAGTGGGTGTGGAGGGCGCGCTTGACGCTCCATTCCATGAGCTTGCAGATCACAGACGTCTAGCATATCGGTCAATAGTTTGCAGGATTGCTGTGTCGAGTCAACAATGTATTCTGCTACTATCTTGAGGAATAGTGGATGAAGTACATCGGGGCCCGGTGCGAAGTTAGAGTTCCGTTCAAGGAGGAGTCTCTTGACTATCTCGGGATTGATTTCGACTTGCTCGAGAGGAAGATAATGCGTTGTCAGATCGTCAGTTGGTAACGACGGTTCCACGGAGTAGATCGAGGAGTACTGCGAGGCTAATAGTTGAGCGTTCTCATCATCCTCAAAGAGCACTGTGGCCTCCTGGCAGGCTACAGCAGGGATACCTCTGCCAGCCTTGGTGTTTCGCTTCAGGTACGAGAACAGCTTCTTCGGGCAGGTTCATGATTGCATGACTAGGCTGTGTTCGTATTGTGATCGTTTTTGGTGCTTCCTTAGAGTGCACAGACTTCTGATCACTTTGTACTTCGAGTCATCTGACGTTACCTGTGTTGACTCGAATGTGTCCCACAGTTTGCGTCCTCTGTTCATCAGGGATCTCACCACTCCGTCGATTTAGGGGCTTTTGGGAAAAGGCCTGTCCTTAGTGATGGGAACCATTTTTTCGATGTCCGACATCATCTTCGAGCGTAGTAATATCCATGCCTCATCAAGGTTCAGCGATTGTGTACTGGTCCAGTCTGTGGTACTTGCCACTTGTAATCTGGATGGGACAACACGCCAGAAGTTGCGATGGTGTGTCTACTGATCGTGGATGGCAAGGCGGTATGCCCAAAAGTAGGAGATTGTAGATATATTATATATATATTATACACAATCTGTGGTACAGATATTGTGCCATCGGAATCATGGCTGAATAGGAAAACAATATGAATAATAAGAAAAGAGTAACAAGAAATGCTTTTTTTTGTCAAGTTTACCACTCACAGATTTTGAAATTTTTTTTCTTCTTTCAGTTTGTTCTTTTTTAGGGGGAGGAAGAAGGGACACCGCAACACACTGATGCACACGTCCGCCATTGACATCGATCTTGAGCCATAACTTCCAAAGTTTTCAACCAGCAAGTATCCTCATCTCTCGGACCCCAACCAGGTAGTCGACAACAACCGGCCGAGGCCAATTGTTTCGTCAACTTTTTCATGCGGCTTCTCCATGTTGTAGGCTGTCCACCAGACCGTCTCTTCCAGCCCTGTCCAGCAAGTGCAAACAACGCACGACGGGGGTAACGCTGGACAGGCATGCGCAATACGTGTCCTAACCACCGCAGTTGATGCAGTGAGATGAGCTCCTCGAGCGAGTGGCTTCCACGTCCCAAGACACGCTGTCTAACTTCCACATTGCTAACGTGGGGCTGCCACCACACACGGGCAATGGACCGCAGACAGCGGTGCTCGAAGACGGATAGCCTGCGCAAGTCATCTTTACGAATGGGCCAGGTCTCGCATCCGTACAACAGTACAGCACGAACAGTTGCACAATAGACCCGCCCTTTGATGGAGAGACGAATGTCGTGGCGACGCCACAAATGCCTCAGCCTAGAAAAAGCGAGGCCTGCTCTCGAGATGCGCATCGAAATCTCGTCTCCAATAGCCCCGCCAGCAGTGATGCAACTTCCCAAGTAGACAAAGCTCTCCACAACCTCCAGTGTCTCACCAGCAAGCGTGAGTGCAGGCAGAGGCACCTGCCAGTCTTGAAGGAGAGCCTTGCATTTAGATGGCGAAAAGTACATACCGTACTTTGATGCTTCAATCGTCAAGCGGTTTAATGCAAGTTGGACAACCTGTGGATCGTCACCCAGCAAGACGATATCATCAGCATAATCCAAATCAACAACTCTACTACCTGGGAGGAGCTCAACGCCAGCGTTCAACGAATCGCTCAGAGCGTTCTTCAGGACACCTTCAATGGCAAAGTTGAATAGGAACGGAGAGATAGGGCATCCTTGTCGAACTCCACTGGAGACCACAAAGATAGGCGAAAGCATGCCATAAGCCCTAACCCTGCCCGAGGTCAGACTGTATAGAGCGCGCAGTATGGAGACGAACTTCTCGGAGACACCGTTCCTCAGAAGGCACTGCCATAGTACGGTACGATCGACAGAATCAAAGGCTGCACGGATATCCAGG